AAAATTCCATTCATTAATTCAGTAATTTATTAATTTGTTCTGTAAACATTGTCAGGCCACTGACAGATTGCCTAGATTTCAATCTTTACTTTACCACTTAGCAATTGTATGACTTTGAAGAAGTCACTTTACATCTCTGAGCCTTTATTTTCTTATCAGTAAAGTGGGCATAATAATAGTAATCATTTCATAGGATTGTTTTTGGGATTAAGTGAGTTGATTCATATAAAACACTCAGCAGAACACTTGACACATTGGAAACAGTTGAGTTCTTACTAACATTTCTATATTTTTATGTAACTGAAGCTACGAGATATTAAAGCTATAACAGTAAGTAATAAAAATACAGTTTCTGCCCTCATTGAAAACCAAATTAAAAGCTGGTGGTTAAGAGAGATGATAGCTGAATAGACTCACATCATGTAAGATTATGACTGTCACAAGTGACATAAGAGGCACAATCTTCTATGGCAACTATAATAGGAAAATTTGATGTAAAAATAAGTGGAAGTTGTTTTTGCTTTTGCTTTTAGTGACAAAGATAACAGCATAGATTCTTCAGTAGAAGAAGCATATTTAGTACAAGAAGATCTCAAGGTAGTTTTCATTATGCAAAATAAATAAATAAATAAGGACCTAACAAGTGCAGGAATTCTCCCTTTTTCTTCTCAGAGAGAGATTTTTCAACTACACCCAATACGGCATTAAAACACCGCCTTCTGCCACGAAGAAACCCTCAGTACACCAGGTGAATGCAGCCACAGGCACTCACCACTTGAATAAGAGACTTGGGAAGCTGCAATTTTAAGCTTTATTGAGGTATAATTGACATACAAAACTATTGCACAAGCCTAATGTCTACATTTTAGTGAATTTGAACATATGTGTATCCCCATGTTATCACCACCAGAACCAAGATTCTAAATATATATATTACCTCCAAAAATTTCCTTGTGTTATTTTGTGTGGGGTGTGTGTGAGTGTGTGTGTGTGTGTGTAGAATGCTTAACGTGAGACCTATTCTCTTAACACATTTTCAAATGCACAATACTGTATTGTTAACTACAGGTATTATGTTGTACAGCAGATCTCTAGAATATATTCGTTTTGTGTAACTGAAACTTCATTTCCACTGAGCAATAATTTCCTATTTCCTCCTTCCATGCCCTTGCATCCCAATCTATTCCCTGTTTCTATTAGTTGGCCTATTTTAGAGATCTCATCTATATGGAATTACGCAGTAGATTTTCTTCTGTGACTGACCCATTTCACTTAGCATCATGTCTTAGGTTTATCTACATTGTTGCATATTATACTATTTCCTTTCTTAAAGGTCAATAATATTTCATTTTGTGTGACCGTCATGTTTTCTTTATCTGTTTTTCTGTCAATGGACATCAGAGGTGTTTTCATACCTTGGCTGTTGTGAATAATGCAGCTCGGAAATTAAGGTGCAGATGTCTTTTCAAGATAATGACTTTGATTCTTGTGAATAGACACCCACAAGAAGAACTGCTGGATCATATGGTAACACTATTTGTTTCTTAGAAAACTCCACACTATTTTTCACAGTGTCTGTACTTTCTACCTTCCCACCAATAGTCTATAAGGGAAAGTACACTTTTCCATGAAAGCTCAATCATCCTTTCTGAGCACAAATCTAAGTCCAGCAATGTGCATTGTGCAATAGGCTTGAAGTAGCATGAAGGACATTGGTTTGTGAAGTCTGAAATCCACAGTATTTACAGAAGTATAACGTCCGATTTTCTCTTTATTATTTGGAATGTTGTGGTTGGGTAATATTTTCTGGGCTCACCGTGGTCCTTCAAAGTGGTAGCAGGATATAGGATTCTCACCAATTTCGCACAAAATATTGAGTCGACCAAATTGGGAAGAAGGTCGCATGTTGAACAACCAAAATAAGGCATTTATCTCATAGCAGCTGGGTGGGAGAAAAACAACGTAGAGCATAGGAGAAGGCAATAGACTGTTTCAGAACTGTTCCCTTAGTACTTCTTTTCTTCTTTTTTAAAAATAGGTAATTCAATTTTTGCTTGTTTGTTTCTGAGATGAGGTCTCACTCTGTCACCCAGGCTGAAGTGCAATGGTGCTATCATGGCTCACTGCAGCCGTGACCTACGGGGATTAAGCCATCCTCCCACCTCAGCCCCCTGAGTAGCTGGAACTACAAGTGCGCACCACCACACCTGGCTAGCTTTTGTGCTTTTTGTGGAGACCGGATTTCACCATGTTTCCAAGGCTGATCTCAAATTCCCGGCATCAAGTTACCCAACTGCTTCAGCCTTCCAAACTGTTGGGATTACAGGCATGAGCCACTGCTCCCAGCCCTTAGTCAGTATATTACAAACTCCTTTGAATATAAATATCTCCTGACTCACTTGTTAAATATATGGTTTCCCAAACACCTAGCTTAATGGGAACTAATATTTTATATTTTAAATAATATCCCAATTTAATTTTTCTCATAAAAGGACATTAGAAAAAAACTGCATTTAACCACACTGTCTATGGCTATTGAAAAGGAAATCGAGACTGGTATTTAAACACAGGGAATATCATTTGTAGTTTGTGTAATAAACACAAGTGAGATTAAATGCAAAAGTTCTTGTTATATAGTGTGGATTGTATCTTTGTCCAAAAAGTATCTTGTTATACTGATGAAGTTGCAGGTCCAAAACGCTAGGATATTCTCGTGGTGAGATCAGTACTGGATTTATCGTACAGAAGCATTCAGATTGTGGTGCCTACAATTTACATCATTTATATATTTCTATCTAAAAAAATTGTCTTCAGTTTCTTAATTCAACAAGGGTATGTACTGAACAGGTATGGGTGCTTTTTACTCATACCAAACACGTATACACATAATATATGTCAATGCAGAAATATATATATATTTATTTATTTATTTATTTTTGAGACAGAGTTTCGCTCTTGTTACCCAGGCTGGAGTGCAATGGTGTGATCTCAGCTCACCGCAACCTCCGCCTCCTGGGTTCAGGCAATTCTCCTGCCTCAGCCTCCCGAGTAGCTGGGATTACAGGCAAGCAGCACCACGCTCAGCTAATTTTTTGTATTTTTAGTAGAGACGGGGTTTCACCATGTTGACCAGGATGGTCTCGATCTCTCGACCTTGTGATCCACCTGTCTTGGCCTCCCAAAGTGCTGGGATTACAGGCTTGAGCCACCGCACCCGGCCTTATTTATTTATTTTTTAAAACGTTTATCGTAGGTTTGGGGGCACGTGTGAAGGTCATCCACGCGAATTCGTGTTATGGGGTTTTGTTGTACAGATTATTTCACCACCCAGATATCAAGCCCAGGACCCAATAGATATCTTTTCTGCTCTTCTCCCTTGGGGAGACCTCAGTGTCTGCTGTTCACAGTCTTCATATATGTTCTGTATTTTGTTTTGTGGTACCAATCTTTGTTACTGTTTTTCAGGCCTGAAGCTTGGCGCTGGTTCACCTGTCTTACATCTTTCTTTTCTTCACACCTACAGCTAGATGATCCTAGAGACCGCGTAGTATGGAGGAACATAGACGAGCTATGCACTTGCAACTCAGAGGAAGGAACCTTAATCCCTGAAGTCACCTCCTACATACAGCCTTCGGGCCTTTGGGTAATTCACATTCTTGTTGAAAATCTTCAGAATCTGCTGGAGAATATTTCGAGAGTTTTAAAAGATTTAGAAGGTGTGATTCTCTTTCAATACAGCGAGGTATGCCGTTAAACTCCCCCAAATACTGGAAAAGCCCATGGTGGCTGCTTCGAAGCCACCTTTATAATCACATACGTTTAACGCGTGTGCTCTTCTGCTTTTGGTTGAAAGCGAAGTGCAGAGGTACAGCATCTAGGGCTCTTCTGTGTCCATTAGACCAAACCACATTCTGTGATGTGTTTGTTACTCTTAAGATACTATTATTTTTTCAATCTTTGCTATTTTTAAAATCTAGGTAGAAAAAGAAGATGTGAAAGGAGCAGGAAAATAAACCCACCTTTCTCCCAATGCTTTTGCATTTTCATTTCCATATCTCTTCAAAGGGTTTGGCCTAATTTGGGGTAGGTTTCTAGCTCACTAGGTCGGTCCACCCATGCTAATTCAACTTTGCCTGAAGTAGCGCAGATATCAAAAGTGTATCCTGCTGCTTAAGTATACTGCACTCTTCATTAAGGATTGAAGGATACACGTACAAAGTAATGAGGACCCATGTGAGTTTTGCAACCATCGCGAAAATCAGTTGCTTTTCCATGGCTGTTTCCTGTATCCTGATTTCGAAGCCTCTGCCAATGCCCCTCTCCCTCTTTCTCTTTCTCTGTCTCAATACTCTTAATGGAAACTTTACTGATAATACAGTGGCAATGTCCTTAAATGTTAAGTACTGCAAGGAGTGTTTTGACATAAAATATATTTCTAATAAATTTAGGTTGGAAAATGTTTGCTATTCAACTGGCAACCTGTTTGCTTATTAATTTTATTAAAGTTATAGAATAAAAGCAACCACTCCTTTCCTAATCTAAGCAGTTTTGTCCCATGGACAAAACATCACAGAATGTGGTTTGGTCTAATGGACACAGTAGAAGTTGTTTTGTCCTTTATGCAAATATATAGGAACTTCAGAGTTTTCTAAACCACCTTCATGTAGCAAACATTTGGAAATTTGACAAATCAGTGAAATGACAGCTTTGGCAGCGTTTGCTCTCTAGCTGATATAACACGCATCTAAAGGAAGTTAAAGTCTGATATGTTTTACTTGTACCTCTTATTTCTATTGTTCTTTAGAGACTTCTCACATCTGTTACCTTCTTAGGAGGTAAAAATAATGGAGCACTCTCGAGATGCAGAAAGATTATTTATACTGATAAAGGACCCAATGGGGTCTACCATAATTCAGTAGAGGATCATGTTGACAATGAGTCAGTAGCCAGCATTTTACCTTTGCTCTCCTAAAGAATGAAACATTCTTAGCCTGACTCACCTGTACAGTTTCAGGAGAGTTGCATCAGATTTGCTGTGCTGAAAGGTACTGGAAGAGTGGTGACCAATCTGGTCTATTTGCAGATTCACCTAGATATCTTGTTAAAAATAAGAATATAGGGCTTCACGTCAGAAGTAAGGAATCTTAAAATTTTGACTTGGGTTTCATGAAACTATACTTACCACAAAGCACTAATTTTCAGAAGAAGGAACTACGAAGAGAGTTTTTTAATGGTTTGTGCAGGAACTGACATATTCAGTATCCCCATCTATTCCCACAGTTGCATCACGCTGATGAATACATTCTAAGAAACACAATGGGAATAAAACATCTCATCAAGCCATGAACTCTTTTTTAAAAAGCCTTTGCTAAGTTGTGGCATAAGCAGTATTTCCACTGCACATCTTGTGCCCAACTCTATGTAGAAATTGGGAGAAAGAAGTTTAGCCGTCTTGAAACACTACAGCAAGAAGCATTTGTGTGTATGCTGTCAATGTTCAATCAGATTTGAGGCAAAAACTTTTAACCTGCTACTTTACTTGGGAAAAATAAAACAAAACATATATTACATAAAATGAACTGTATTTTTTTGTTTGCAAATTATATTTCTATAGTCACTGGGTATTAACGGCGTGATTTGGTTTAGCGAATTTCATCATCATGATTTTTACCCTTTATAATATTTTTATATTGTATATAGGTTGTGTAGGTCTTTTTTACAAAATGTATGCATTAACTTAATAGAAAAGAATAACAAATTACAGTAAATGTGGTAACCTTTTGCCTTTTTAAATTCCACTTTAGATAGGTGTGTCACATGTCCTATTTCATTAAACTTTTTTAGTATTACTGTGCTGTTTAGTGATTCTGGCTTTGAAATCGTTCTTAAAACATTTTGGGACCATTCTGAAGATTGTGGAAGATCCTGGAGTCTATGCGGTGGCCTTAACAGCAGAAAACTGTCCCCCAAAAGGGGATTGATTTGCTTGCAAGTTTCCTCATTATATAAGAACCCAAGTGTTAAATACAGGCTAAAATTGGTCTAAATGAGAAATACTTGAGAGGATGTTGAATTTATTCTTGCACCTTCACTGTCTGGAAGCATCAGGCACTCGTCAGAAATAATTCAACTAAATTATTTCTAATTGTTTTTTTCATAGGTAATACAAGATTTCCTCAGTGTGTATGTGTGTGTGTGTGTGTATGTGTGTGTATGTATGTGTATGTGTGTGTGTATGTCTGTGTATGTGTCTGTGTATGTATGTGTATGTGTGTTTGTGTGTATGTATGTGTATGTGTGTGTGTTTGTGTATGTGTGTGTGTGGGGGGGGGTGTTTTCTAAAGAAGCAAAACAAAAATGATCTAGCAAAAAAACGGAAGAATCTCTACAACTTCGCAACTCGCCAGTTACAGCCGGTGGTGCTTTTACCTTTCTGCTGCCACCTGGTGGCCACCATGTGAAAATGTGTCCGCTGGTTCCGGGAAAGAAACTGCAGAGGGCTTCTCAACGCAGCAAGCAGGCAAAATTGATTCTCCTACTGTGTTAGCCGTCATTGCGACAGAAATATGCCCTAATAGAAGAAAAATATTGGTCGTTTAGGAAGTCCTTAATCAACACGGAACAGAGACGATGATAAAATTCAATGACTGCTTTGCAGAAATACAACTTATCTAAACTGTATATGCAAATCTACCATAGCCTCTCTTTTTCTGTGATTTCAGACTTTCTATTGTTATTTCGAATAGTAGAGGCACCGTCTTCTACAGAGTAAAAAGGAGAAAAAAAAGAAGAAGAGGTGGTTAGAAAGACAGCTGGGAAGAAAGCTGAGATAAGCTCTGTGTGTTGTCCAGTAATTCATTGCTTTCTAAGTCCTAAATGTGATGATTGTGGTAATTGTGTGCGTTGTGGGCTTTTGCTCCCTCTTCCCTTTATACTTTGCGTGGTACAGAAAAGAATGACTTGCCCAGAGGTTAAGGTTGGCTGTTCATCAAGTAGGGCAAATGAGCCAATGTCCTTGGAAATGCTCAGACGAAAAGAGAGCGCCCCTTCTGGTTTCCTGGGGCAATTTCAAGGGAAGATTCATTTATTTACTAATTTGCTGAAGAAACAGGTGACCACTGGCTGGAAGAGGGGTTGGTGTTTAGAGCACAGAAATGAAGAGCAGGAGTGCACACGCTTGTGGCAATGCAAAAGCAAAGACCCAGGAACCTTTTATATACTAATGTAAGGAAAGATCGGAAATGTTGTCAGAATATCGGAATTGTCAAAAATATTTTGACCACTCCAGCCTCACACCACAAAAATTGGTGATAATCGTCAGCTATCCCTGCTGCGTATCTCAAAACTTCATTCCACACGGTGAATTTGTATTGGGTGCAGATCTTCGTCAAATGCAGTATGGTGCTGAAATCCTGTCATAAAGAAAAATGGGCAATACGCATTTGAAAACATTAATGGGAAAGCATAACATGAGAATTTTCCAGTGGTGATTCAGACAATATTTGGGTGGTATTTCAACCACGGTACAATAGACAATAGAAGCTTGGAGCGATTTCTCTAAGTTTTTAGAGAGAGAATTTTATACAGGAGATTATGATACAACTCATGAAATACATGAGAAACCCTAACTCAAAAATTAGGAAGTACAAGAAGTTGCTACGATTCCTTTACTTGATTATCAAAGGACAGAGTTGATAGTATACACGGGAAGAGACCAAGGCCACCCCAAAGAAGCTGATGCATGGTAGACTAGGTGAGGGGGGGGCGGGTTGAAGAACGTCCAACTGCTGTTAAAGAAGCAAGGAGAACACTTTGGGAGGCCGAAGCGGGTGGATCACGAGGTCAACAGATCGAGACCATCCTGGTCAACATGGTGAAACCCCGTCTCTATTAAAAAAAAAAAAAAAAAAAGTGGCCGGGCGCGGTGGCTCACGCCTGTAATCCCAGCACTTTGGGAGGCCGAGGCGGGTGGATCACGAGGTCAACAGATCGAGACCATCCTGGTCAACATGGTGAAACCCCGTCTCTATTAAAAAAAAAAAAAAAAAAGTGGCCGGGCGCGGTGGCTCACGCCTGTAATCCCAGCACTTTGGGAGGCCGAGGCGGGTGGATCACGAGGTCAACAGATCGAGACCATCCTGGTCAACATGGTGAAACCCCGTCTCTACTAAAAATACAAAAAATTAGCTGGGCATAGTGGGTCGTGCCTGTAATTCCAGCTACTCAGGAGGCTGAGGCAGGAGAATTGCCTGAACCCAGGAGGCGGAGGTTGTGGTGAGCCAAGATCGCACCATTGCACTCCAGCCTGGGTAACAAGAGCGAAACTCTGTCTCAAAAAAAAAAAAAAGAAAAGAAAAAGAAAGAAAAGTGTTCCTCACTATGTAGTGTGCAATAGTGACGATCTCCCAACATATAATAGAGATAAGAAATTTCAAATAATGGATTTAAGATCAAAACAGGCCAAAACGGGCATCAGGAAGGACAGTAAGAAGCGCAGAAAGCAAGAAGCCTGACAGAGGAACAAAACATGACCTGAAAGATGAAGGAGGCATAGACCATAAGGAAAGAGAAAGGAAGGAGAAGAAAACATGAGGGTAGCGAAAATACCAAGGCAGGATCGCAAGGAAAGACTGTGAATGGTGTTACCGGAGCGGCGAAAAGACTAGACGATGTGAAAAGGAACATCCAACCTCTAGACAAGCTTGGAGAGTCAAGAAGCTTTGAATGCTAGAATAAGAAACTGGAAATCAATTGGATGGACTATTCGTTTCCAAAAGCTAGCTTGCTTGTTAAAAGGATGTTCATTACCAAAGAGTTGCAGAAATACTAACTTTGTAGAATCTTTTATATGCCAATGTGCTCTCTGGATCCACGAGATGTATATCATAAGGTGAGTTTCATAAATTTATTTATTCGTATGTTTACGATGCATCTTATTGGTCTAGTGGTTTACTGCAAGGCACTCTGGAAAAACTGCTAAATAATTTTGAAATCCTGCCATTTACCAGCAAACTGAATGAGGAGTGAGATGTTCATAAAGCAATTAATTTCCAAAGCTTGAAATAAGTTAAAAATGCTATTATAAGAAACTTGAATTCATTCAAATTTCAAATAATTATAGCTTACGATCCATTGCCTGGGATTATACTATTAATTGAAAAAATGTTTCAAAAAACTAAGTGTTTTAATATTTTTAATGTAAATGTCTGAAAAAAGACAACTAATAATCATAATTACAAATAATTCTCATGTATTCACTGAAGCAAAATGACAGGCTTTTCATTCAGTCAGGAGTTTTAGTTGCTCAAATATTTTTTAAAAACAGTTTAAGATTATTCTGATTGAAACTGTTATCTCATTTGAGATTTTTCCAGGCTGTCTATTTAGAAGGTCAAAGTGGCTCTTGAAAAAAATGTTTAAAACTACTGAAACAAACCTCATTATTCATGGGTAACCAGTAATGAGAAGAAAAGAATTAACAGCAGGCCTGTAGCCCACTTCCTCCATACAGGGACAGTGGAGTGCAGGACGGAGCCTGACTTTGGACAGACCTCTTTGCAAGCATTATCGATAGAGTTTATTAATGCAAAAATGCCAGGAGTCTTTATCTATAAAATGTTTTAGGAGGACATACCTGACCGGCCTAGGATTCTTATTGTAGATAAACCTGGGATTTCTGGTTTATGAAACTCGAATGGCTGGAAAATGAAGAGTAGTTACATGAGCTGTCAAATTAGTGGAATACAAAGCAAGGACATTTCAAAATTGAAATCGCTAATTTTTGTGTTTAATACCTTTTGCATATCTTGCTAATAAACCTCATAGGTTAATCCTAAGCCAAAATGTCAACCAGGTTGGGAGAAAATTGATATTTTGGAGAGTTGAATTTGAAAATTTTGAGTTCCTCCAGGGAATGTCTCACTGTTAGCTTTTGAGTCCTAAGTAGATGTGGTTCCTGGTTAAGATCCTCAGTCTGATTTGACATTTCAACCCTTTTTGAGAATGCAGATTGGTAGAGTAGGCATGATTAACTTTTAGACCTATAAATTATGGTCACTCAAACACTTTTTCACAAAAAATGAGAGTTTCACGTTGAAGGTGTAACATAATGAGGATTTGTTGCCGGAATAGTTACTCGCGTATTCCTGTTATGACGTAGTAAAAACCTTGATTCAAACTATGGAGGGAAAGATTTAACAATGGAATTTACGGCAAATAGGTTTAGATCAAAGGAGATTAGCTATGTGAATACACAAATAATGCAAGTAGAAGGGAGGTTATGAAACCATGCTATTTCCTTACTGATGATAGCAGTCCTCAGAAAATCTGAACATCAAACACAGAAAAAAAGAGACTTTATTCTAATTGATTACTGAATACAGACGTTGTATTCAACACAACCCGGGTGACCTCAGATTCCAGAAGTTACTCTGGTTAGGGCTGATATTCTTTATGAAGAAACCCAAGAGCAAGTCTGATGAATTCCTGTTAGCACGAATTATCAGAAAAAAAATGATTTGGGTGCATGTCAGTAGTTTTACATACATCTGAATGAAAGGGGTTATGCCTCAACTCCAGATGGAGGAAAACCTTTGTGAGGACCTGCTTTCAGATGGGTTAACACATATCTTGTAACAATATGTGGTAAAGACAGGGTTTCTGAAGGCTTAAACCGAGTGGGTAACCTCCCTACATTCCCTTTGATCAACAGATGCAACACTCCTTTCAAAAGAGTACACAGGTGCAAGGAATCCAGATTTGGGCTATACCTGATCAGAGTGACACACTTAATTAATGCTATTTGCACAAACTGTGATAGATGCAAAAATATAGCAACTATGCTCCAGGGAGCTAGGGGCAATGACAAGGAGAGAAGAGAGAGTAAAATAATATTCCAAAAGCAGCAATAGATCTGCTAGCTCAGTGACCAAGCTTGGGGCTAAATAATGAAGAAAACATTTATGCTATGCAAAAAGATGTTACAATTGGGGATGCGGGGAAGTAAAAAAAGAAAAGAAAAGCAGGGAGAGGGCCTGCTAACTGACTTAACGGAGTGAAGTTGTTCAGATGGCTATTGACAAATAGGAAAAAGGAAACTGATGGGGCGGCCATCAATAAGCTGGTGGGATGTTGTAGATGCTTGAAGGGATAAAACACCTGCTTTAGCTCCTCCCTAAGCTCTTAAAGTGCTCCCTCAATTTAGTCAATATATCCTCTCCTGGGAAAATTCAAATCCAATCATGAAGAATTTAGAATGAAAAATGCTTAAACAACCAGCTGAAATTGCACTATCAGTCAAAGCCATAGATTTGAAAAAATAGAAAATACTGTGTTGATATCTGTTCATCCTACCCATAGCGAGGCATTAAAGGCCTTTTGCTTTTAAATGTTCCAGTTATCGTATGTGACAGTATTACTGGATACAATCTCCCATTGTATAGGTATTCCCACGGGGGACTGAAAGACATGGTCCAGGGTAAAACAGGGTTGTAGGGAGATGTCACGATATGAAAGTCATGCTACAAATCAGAAAGTGTGACTGGAGGAAATAATATTCTGCGTGACATGGTTTGGCTCTGTGTTCCCACCCAAATCTCATGTTGAATTGTAATCCCCAGTGTTGGAGGAGGGGCCTGGTGGGAGTGACTGAATCACGGGGGCAGAATTCCTTCTTGCTGTTCTCATCATAGGAAGTTCTCGCGAGATCTGGTTGTTTAGAAGTGTGTAGCACTGGCCGGGCGCGGTGGCTCAAGTCTGCAATCCCAGCACTTTGGGAGGCCGAGGCGGGTGGATCACGAGGTCAAGAGATCGAGACCATCCTGGTCAACATGGTGAAACCCCGTCTCTACTAAAAATACAAAAAATTAGCTGGGCACGGTGGCGCGTGCCTGTAATCCCAGCTACTCAGGAGGCTGAGGCAGGAGAATTGCCTGAATCCTGGAGGCAGAGGTTGCAGTGAGCTGAGATCGCGCCATTGCACTCCAGCCTGGGTAACAAGAGCAAAACTCCGTCTCAAATAAAAGTGTGTAGCACTTCCCACCCCCTTCTGCTTCATCTTGTGATTCCACCATGGTGGTAAGTTTTCTGAAGCCTCCCCAGAAACAGAAGCCTGAAGACAATTACACCTCTTTTCTTTATAAATTACTCAGGCTCATGCAGTGCTTCATAGCAGTGTGAGCATGGACGAATACACTGGGGTTATGTCGTTCTCGTCTAAATGCACCATTGGAATAAACACAGTGTTAATGAGAGACTCTGCCTTTACCACCCTTGCACGGGAGTTAGCCCTTCCCTTGGTTTGGGCTACTGGACATGATAAAGGAGAACCTTTATAACTGCCCAAGCTCTTGTTGGGTGTAATACATAAGAAAATGATAGTAGGAGGAGGACAGTGAGTGTTCTTAACCTCTTTTTTTTTTTTAACAGCCTGACTGGCAGGCACATAAGGCAAACTGATTATGGAAACTAAACACACATTACTAGGGCTCCAATGAGGTGCTCCCCACTATTTCTTTAGCTATACCCAAGATGGTAAAGATTGGGCAAGAAGTTTCTGGAGTGTGCAACAGGTTACAAGTGATTGAAAAAACGTGAGAGACTTGGCTAAGAACTGTTTTCCATACCCATTTTGGGGTCCAGCCAGACACAATTTGCATTTTTATAGAATAGTACTAGGTGTGCATATATAATTTTTTTCATACGGATATTTGAATTTACAACCACACTGTCATAATTCAGTGTGATAAGCCTTGAACCTGGTAACCATTAGGAACAGTTTGTGGCCTGGCGTGGTGGCTCAAGCCTGTAATCCCGGCACTTTGGGAGGCTGAGGCAGGTAGATTGCTTGAGTCCAAAAGTTTGAGGTTAACCTGGGCAAAACCCTGTCTCAACCAAAAAAAAGAAAAAAGAAAAAGAAAAACATTAGCCAGGCATGGTGGTGAGCACTTGTAGTCCCAGGTATTCCAGGGCTGAGGTGAGAACCACCTGAGCCTGTGAAATTGAGGCTAGTGAGCCTCACTGTCCCACTGCATGCCAGCCTGGGTGACGAGTGAGCCACTGACTAAAAGAAAAATAATGGTTTACAGGACTATATTCATAACATCATGACCATTTTCCCCCATAGAAAGCAGTGCAAGAGGAGTTAAGGACTGTGGTGCTTTATAATCCACAGAGACTGACCGATTAAAACACAAATCCTGGCCCGTTCTGTGAAATTTGGGTAAATTATGTGGGACAGAGCAAACAGAGACATCCCTTGAACTTTGAGAAGTAAATTGTTATCCCTTACTTACCTGTCCAATAAAGAGTAAGCCTGGAGATAGTGGGACGGTTTCTGGAGATCACATCAGCCCACCTAGGAATGCTGCTGAACTCTGACCAAGAAGCCCAAAGCTCTTAAACATTTTAGATTGCAGTTACAGAATCCAGACTAATTGTTTGGGTATGTTTAAAATGGACATTTTTAAATCAAGATTTATTCTTTGTCCTTAACTCACTTAGTTTATTATTTTTATTTTTATTTTGAGTAGAGGTGAGGAACTAGGATGTTGAAAAGTAAAAAAAGAAGAGAAGGAGAGGAAGAAAGAGGAAGAAAAAGAGGGAGAGAAAAGAGGAATATTGCTTCATTCTAAAAAGGCATTCCAAAATGCAAAACAAAAAGAAACCAAGGCAGTGATTGGAGAGAACTTTGCCTACAGAGGAACAAGAATGCAAATTACAGTGGATTGCTTGTCAGAAAGCATGCAAACCAAAGGAGAGTGAAATGAAATATTCAAGGTATGTGTTATGGACTGAATATTTGCGTGTCCCCTAGATTCATATGTTGAAGTCCTAATCCCTTGTGCAGCTATGTTTGGACACGGGCCTCTTAAGGAAGTAATTAAAGTTAAATGAGGTCATAAGTGTGGGGCCCTGACCTGGTAGGACTAGTGTCCTTGTAAGAGACACCACAGAGCTCACACGCACTCTGTCTCCACTTGCATGCGGTGAGGAAAAGCCATGTGAGGACGCAGTGAGGTGTTTATCTGCAGGCCAGGAGGACAGCCCTCACTGGGAACCAAATGAGTTGAAACCAAGTTGATCTTGGGCTTCCAGCCTCTAGAACTATGAGAAAATTAATTCCTGTTGCTGAAGCCACCAAGTCTTTGGTAGTTTGTTATGGCAGCCCAAACAGCAACATGTTGCTGGAAAAAGAAACACCAATCCAGAATTCTATATACACTGAAATTATCCCTCAAAAATGAAGAAGAAAGACTTCACTAGTTGAACAAAATGGAGAGAACTTACTAGCAGTCCTGTCTTGCAGGAAGTGTTAAAATAAGTTTTTTGGGTAGAAAAAAATGATACAGGCACGAAACCTGGAACTATATACAAGAAAGGAATAGTATTGGAAAGAAATTAATGAAGATAAAATAAAATATTGTATTTTCATTATTTTAAATTAATCTAAAAGAAAAGTATGTATTGAAAGTAATATGATGATATACTGGGCGATTATAGGATACGGATAAGTGAATTAATGACAGTAATGGCACAAGAGGGAGGATTGGGAATATCTTATTTTTATGTAAATAAATAAATAAAATAAAATAGACATTTTTACTGAGATGGAAATAGATTGATTGCTTTGTGTACTAAGAAACATTGAAAATAGTAAATATACACCACTCAGAAGAGAAAGGAAAAGCTAACTTCTTGTAAG